TTCTTGTCTCCTGGTGACCATTGAGTCATCAGCTCAACAGTCACCTCCAGTGAGAAGCATCACCTCATCCTTTCCCTTGCTCTGGGTTTTTTTTTTTTTTTAAGACAGAGTCTCACTCTGTAGCCCAGGCTGTAGTGCAATGGCGTGATCTCGGCTCACTGCCACCTCTGCCTCCTGGGTTCAAGCGATTTTTCTGCCTCAGCCTCCCTAGCAGCTGGGATTATAGGCACCCACCAGCATGCCAGGGTAATCTTTGTATTTTTAGTAGAGACAGGGTTCTGCCATGTTGACCAGGCTGGTCTCGAACCCCTAACCTCTGGTGATCCATCCGCCTTGGCCTCCCAAAGTGCTGGGATTACAGGCATGAGCCACCGTGCCCGGCCTTGCTCTGGGGTTGTTATATTAGGGTTTCTGCATCATTGTATTACGTTCTTGTTAACTATTCTGGGAGCTTCTGGAGGGAGAGGCTTGGTTTGATCCATTCTTTGTGATCTGACACAAGTCGACGCTTGCAGACCTGCTGACTGAGCATGCAGAGTGTGTCCTGGGCAGAGGTGTGGGCAGGGGCTAGCTCCTGGTGTGGTCCCTCTCCACTCACCAGATGATGTGCTTCAGGATGTTGTTCACTAGGCTGCCCAGCACAGGAATGCCCCCAGCTGGCTTCTCCCGCATGGCACTGAGCAGCGGCAGCTGCTGCAGGATGCTGGTGGCATGGTGATCCTTCAGCTCCTGTGTCAGCTCTGGAGGCAGACCCCAGGAATTAGGGCCGGGGAGGAGGGGCAAGAAGGAAGGCTTGGTGGGGGCTCCAGGCGGGGGAGAGGTATCACTTGGGGCTCCCTGAGATAAGGCGAGGGTGCAGCCATCTCTACTGTGGTAGAGGTCAGGACCAGCTTGCCAGTCCCCACAGTGTAGATGTAGCCTTGAGAATAGTGGCCCAAATGGGTCGTTTTCACATCAGGAGTGAGGCTGCGGTCATTCACATGCCTAAGCATTGCCAGCCTCTGTGGGGAGCGTCAGCCACTACACACAGCACTTGGACCTACATTCGTCCCCCATAGTCAGTGGCAAGCACTTCCAGGGCCAAGAGGCAGGGAACCTACAAAGCCCTGTTTGGAGCTGTTTTGCTGCCAGAGCACACTTGTTAACAATTGCCTGGCATCCATATTCTACAGGTTTATGGTCCAAAAGCCTCAGGTGCTGAGCAGAGGAAGGAGGGGCCAGGACAGAGGCATACAGGTCAGGAGCCCTGGATTCTGGTCCCAGCCATGAGCAGCTGGAGCCCATCTGGCTCCTGTGCAGAGCAGGTTAGAGGTGCTGGAGAGCTGACGCCCCAGAAACAGACCTCAGCCAGTGATTGATGAGAGTTGGTGTATCAATACCTCAGCTCCCTCACCCCTCAGTCAGGATGGCTCAGATGTGTGTCCCTCACTGTGTTTCAGAGCTCCTGTGTTATAGCCTCTTAGCTGCAAATCCACCCACTTTGCCTGCTGTGGTAATGGAGCTGGGCCCTGTGAATATTTCTTCTTTGCCATTTGGCACAATGTTAAGCCTTTTCAGTGGAGGCTCTGGAGGGGTGTGGGGGAGGAAGGGGCTTCCCCTCATGGCGCTGGTGTGCTCCTCTTACCAGGTTCCTATGGTGCCACTGCCCAGTGGCTTTTGCCGAGTGAGTTCTGCGGGCACCCTGGCTAGCTTCGAGGTGGTTTCCCAGAGATAGCTTCCCCGTGAGTTAACAGCAGGCCCCCTCCTCCAGGGGCAGCTTCCCAGAGACTTTCATCGGCTCCCTGGCAGGTAGTTCTCTGCCCACTAGCCTCAGTTTGCCAACTGTGGCCCAGCTCTGGCCTGGGACAAGCCAGCAAGCTTCTCGACCACAAGCTGGGCTTCAACCACACCCTCTGCAGTGAGGGCTGGGGAGGATTCTTTGCCTGTAAGCTTGCTCTGTCCTTGGCTACCCCTTTCATCCCTAGGGTATCCTTTAGAGCTCGCTCTCTCTTCCCTCTTCCTCCAATCTCCTGGTATACTTCTTTACATTAAACTTACCTGTTGGGATGACTGTGTGGTTTCTGTCTTCTGATTGACCCTAACAGATGCAGTTGCTAGGCAGGACTGAGCTCCAGTCCCCACAGTGGTACCTGGCTTGGAAATGCTCGGGAGGCCTTCCCTTCCCTGCCTTGCCTCCCCACACTCCTGTAGGTGTTTCTGGGATTACCGTCAAAACCAACCACTTGCATACAACTCTTTTAGGAGAGCCTAAAGCATGATTATTCATCTCTAAGCTCCTTCTGGCTGAAATTCTGCAGGCTTGAGCTTCGTAGTTTGGACCCAGCCACGTCTGCCTCCCTCCAGCTTCCCAGAGCTCGCTGCTTCCTGTCCTTACTTGGGACTCCATCCACTGGCTACAGAGCCTGTTGGGTCCGCAGGACCTGCTCCTGCCCCTGCCCCTGTGGCCATGACCCAGGCCCTAGTCCCCTGAATGCAGAGGTCTGGTCCTCTGAGTGCTCAGGTGGCTCTCCAGAGCTGACAGATGAGTCCCCTCTAAGGGAATGACACTTTAGAGCAGTGGTTCTCCATTGGGGTGATTTTGTCTCCTAAGAGACATTTGCCAATGCCTGGGGACCTTTTTGGTTGTCACAGTTGGGTTAAGGAGGCTGCTAAGCATCCTGCATGGCCAGGACACCCCCCCACAATAAACAGCTGTTTGGTCCACAGCATCAGAAGTGCTGAGTTGGGAAGTGTGGTCACAGTATCCATAAAGCTCTAGTCAATTCCGGTGACCCAGTGAGGAGAGGCTGGCCCTCTTATTTGTGTCCGAGGAGGAAGCCAAGGCCCAGGGACGGGCCCAGTGCCCCCGCGCTGGAGAGTGAGACATTGTGCCTGGGACCCAGGCCGCCACACTCACAGTCAAGGGTCTCTGCTGTGGGGACAAGGAACACGCTAGGTTTAACTAAGAGGGGGTGCTCTCAGGATGGAATTTCAGGTGAGGGCAGGGGGAGGGGCAGCTGCGTCACTGCATTCAGTGGTTGCATACCCCTTCTGCTGGCTGTGGAAGCTCAGGGTTTTGGAATTGTGGAATTTAAGAAGGGAATCTTGGAATCGTGGACTCTTGAGATCACAGACACTCCAGACCTTTACAACTCACTCATGTTCGCCCAAGTCCTGGGGTTTCAGCCATGCCTTGCACCGCCCCCGTGATGAGGAGCTCTCTCTTTCCTTTGGGAAGCTGCTCCACCTTCCCCCTTGTCTTAGGGCGGCCAGGTCCGGAGGGCCAAAACTTACTTTCTTTGATGACTTTTGGACCGAGGATGAGAACCCCAGTGGGGCTGAGGGTGGCTTGGATCAAGGTGGCTGCCAGCAAACCACAGAGAAGGGTGAAGGTCCACGGGCCAGCCATCTTCCCAGGCGTCAGAGAGCAGCAAGTGGCAGGTGCCAGACCAGACCTGGGTGAGCACAGAGAGCCCTGAGGCAGAGAGGCCAACGGCAGGCCCATGACACCTGGTGACCTGGGGCACGGTGTCCAGGAGAGGCTGCTGAGTGCAGTGGTTAACTGCCTGGGCTAGCGTGGCCTTCGGCAATCAACATACCCTCTTTGTGCCTCAGTTTTCTTATCAGATAAATGGGCATGATGACCCCTACTTCACAGAGTTGAGGGATAAATGAGTTAATATCTGGAAAGCATTTAGCACACAGTGTCTTTCACATGGTAAGCACTTGGAATAAAAATGTTAGCTATTTCCTTACAGAAAATCCAGCAGCAATCCTCAGAACAGAGCGCTTCTGCTTCCTGCGTCCCCCATCCCTCAGTCTGACACTTCAAACCCCCTATGGTCCCTTCTCCGCTGACCTCATTTCCTGCTTTCTCTCCCCTTGTTCTAGCAAGTTCCAAGCGGTTGGAAGTTCCCAGAACATACTCTCTTCTCTCTGAGTCTGTGCCTTTGCTGTGGCTCTTCCTGCTTCCTGGAATGCTTTTCTCCTCCCATAGCTCCCTGATGAATTCCTATTCATCCTCTAAAACCCTGCCAAGATTTTTCACTTTCTCTGTAAAGCTTCCCCTGTCCTGCAAACAGGGACCCCGGACCACACTTGGCGAAATGCTGTCCTGGGGCCCAGGACATGAGGTTGGAGGCAGGAAGGAAACGAGGAGCCACGTAGGACTCAACGTTGTGAAAAAGCTGTTTGTTTAATCCACAATACTAGGGGGGCTGGTAGGGGTTGCTGAGTGGTTCCTTACAACCAGGGAAAAAAGGGCAGAGACAGAGAGAGAGAGAGAGAGAGAGAGAGAGAGAGAGAGAGACAGAGAAAGAGAGACAGAGAGACAGAGAGACAGAGAGAGACAGAGAGAGAGAGACAGAGAGAGAGACAGAGAGACAGAGAGAGAGACAGAGAGAGAGAGACAGAGAGACAGACATAGAGAGACACAGAGAGACAGAGACAGAGAGAGACACAGAGAGAGAGAGACAGAGAGAGAGAGAGACAGAGAGAGAGACAGAGAGAGAGAGCGCGCGCGCCTGCGGCCCATGCTGCAGAGAGGAGCTTGGGGGTATTCTAGCCCCTTGGCTGCTCTGTCCCCTCCCTGCACAGGGGTGAGGCATCAACACCTGTAACCCAGTCCCAGGCTCTCCAGCTCGCACCCCGGCTTTGCCTGCCAGGCTCCCTTGGAAGCTCCTGCCCTGTGGACTGTCCTGCTTGGAGGGAGCGGAGATGCTGACCCAGAGATCTGAGCCGTTGCTTGGTTTAGCATGTGGGTTTCTTTTTTTTTTTTCTGAGACGGAGTTTCGCTCTTGTTGCCCAGGCTGGAGGGCAATGGCGCGATCTCGGCTCACCGCAACCTCCGACTCCTGGGTTCAGGCAATTCTCCTGCCTCAGCCTCCTGAGTAGCTGGGATTACAAGCACACGCCACCATGCCCAGCTAATTTTTTGTAGTTTTAGTAGAGACGAGGTTTCACTATGTTGACCAGGATGGTCTCGATCTCTTGACCTCGTGATCCACCCGCCTCGGCCTCCCAAAGGGCTGGGATTACAGGCCTGAGCCACCGCGCCCGGCCGGGTTTCTTAACTGTATGCATGTCGTCAGGCCCAAGGGCCTCTTCCATCCTTGTCAAGGGAGTGCTAACTTTTCTCCTTTCATACAACACAGCATGTGGCTTTCTTGTTGCCAACAACAAATGTGGCATCTGAATGACATGTCTCCTGTGCCATGGAGCAGTGTGAGCTCTTCTGAGGCCCTTGCAATAATGAGTCAGCCTCTGCCTCCCTGACCAGCCCATGAGCTCTGGGAGGGAGGGCTGGGTCTGCCTGCTCCCTGCTGTGTCCCTGTCATCTAGCACAATGCTTGGCACACAGCAGGTGCTTAATAAATGGCTGCTGAATAAATGCATGGCCCCTGGAAACTCTGAAAGAATTGGAAAGCTGAGCCTGCTAAGCTGAGCAGGTTAGTGTTAGGAGGCCTGGGGGTGGAGGGGAAAGTCCCGCTGGCTTGGCAGCCGGATGGACCCTGGTTGGAGGCCGCTGCCACCACTTGCTCTGTGATCTTCGACAAATGACTTACCGTTTCTGAGCCTCCGTTTTCTCCTCTGTAAAATGGGGAATAATTATAGTGCTTAAGTAGCAGACTTTTGGGGAAGATTAAATGAGACAGCCTATTCGTGGCACACCCAAGCGTTCAGCACATGGTAGCTTCCGTTACGATTATGACAGCTATCATCACTAAGATCGGAGTCAGAAGGAGGCATCGGGCAGCCAAAGCCAGAGACAGGTGAAACCCCCGCATCCAGGCACCCCTGCAGCCCCACTCCATATTTTTCTTGCAAACACCTTGACCCTGTTTGCCCTCCAATATCTCTACACACTACGTGCTCTGTGCTCTTCAGAACAGAGGAAGCCAGGGACCCACGAGGATGACAGCATCCCCGTTTCCCTCCTGTGGAAAAGCCTCTCCTCCCCAGATCCAGGCACCGCGCACGCCCCACCGTCTGGCACCTGAGGCGCGTTCCCCTTTGCGGAATGCCTTTCTCTTCTCCTTTGCCCAACCACCCTCTACTTGGCTTTGCAACCGACAGGCCGCCTCTTCCAGGAACCCTTCTTTGACTGTCCTCCACTCCCGTGTCCCTGGGTCTTCTTGGGCTCCACATTGTCCTACACTGGGAGTTCCTTGAGGGACAGACTCTGTGACTAATGCTTCTTTTGCCCCAGCATCACCTAGCACAGCTGGGCACAGAGCAACTGGTATGTGCAGAGTGGTTTATGTCCCTAGGATGAGGTCAGGACTCAGCCAGCCCCATCCCTTCGTCACCACTCTTTGGTCCTCTGAGCAAGGGAGCTGGGTACCTTTCTAAACCTGGCCCTGATCCTCAGTGGATCCTGACTCACCCAGGGCCCTCCCCGGGAAGGCAAGCCTCCCCTGTGCTCCTGACCTGACCCCAACAGGTATCTCTAGCTCAGAACCTTCCTGGAAACCTAGGCTTTCAGCCCTTCCCTGCTTTTACCTGGGCACGCTGGAGTCCTCGGCCTGCTCCTCTCCTCTCCCAGGCAGTGGGTCTGGAAGTCCAACCTTATATCCTGCACACCCCAGCACAGGCTTTGTCTTTGGGCAGAGGCCTCAGGCCAGGACAAGGTCTCCAAGGTAAATATTTGTGGCTTCAGGTGAACCACAGCCCCGCCTGGAGGCAACCTTGGGACTCCAGCTTCCTGAGGCTTGGAGAAAGGAAGGTCCAGGCTGAGAAAAGCACAGTGCAGATGGCAGGAAGCACTCCGTAACTGCGAGGGGCTGCTGCTGTTCATATCATTAGTGCTCACAACAGGATGAGCCTTTGTAGAGGGGTTACAGCAATTGTTTAGTCCAGATAATCAACTTGGGAAAAGGAGGGAGTAGCCTTGTTCCTAAATGTGTCAGGGATACACATCTCCATCAATTAATTCACCCAAGAGAATAGATTTGAATCCTTTTTTTGCCACTGCTTTGCTGTGTGCCCTTGGGCAAGGTACTTCACCTCTCTGGGCCCCACTGACCTCATCTATAGTATGGGGATAATAGTAGCTTCTCCTCTTGAGTTGCTAAAAGCATGAGCTGAAGGGCATGCCTACACAGTGCTTAGCACAAGCTTTCATTTCACTCATTCATTCATTCATTCATTCATTCCACAGCAATTAGAAGCCGCTCTACCTCGTCTGCATCTTTAGGAGTCTCCGTGAGCACTTGTGGACTGAAAGAATAAGGAGGCATGACTATGAACCCAAAGGACAAATGTCCAAGCCCAGCAGGACCCTGTCATCCACCACCTGGGCCCCAGCCTTGGCTCATGCAGTCTGCACAGTCACCCAGAGGTGGGCGTCAGCAGCACTGATGTTACAGAGGGCACCTGAGGCTCAGAGAGGTGAGTGACTGGCTCAAGGTCACAGGGCTTTCAGCGTTGGGACCTGAGCCTGATCATCCAGTCCAGAATGCACCCTCTTAATGGCCACACTGTCCTTTCCCAGAGACTTCAACTTAGCATTAGAGGCGGTGGTGACACCAACATGGCCCCTTGATGTCCTCTGGGCATTATTCTTGCTACCCAGTTTTGATCTAGAAGCATGGAACAGTGGTTTAGAGCTGGGATGGCCATTGTTGAATCCTGTCTCCATCTGCAGGGGACAAGACGGGGGCAGCAGTGTCCTGAGGTCACAAAGTATGTAGCCAGGCCCTGACTGCCTCCTCTTCCTGCTTTTTGACAAGAAGAACAAGGAGAAGAGCGTTTGCTGTCCTGCCATGTTTGTCAACACCCCAAGAGCCCCGAGTACCTGAAGGTGAGATGTTTCGGGAGCCAGGAGAATTCCCGGGAGGACCCTGCCAATCCCTTGGGCACATCTCCAGAGAGGCAAATCCCCTGCTTGGCTTTCCAGCTGGCCATGCCCATTGCCCATGGACAATGCCCCTCTGTGGGGTGCTGGGGCCTAGTGCCAGGGCCTGGGCCAGCATCAGCTCTTGCTTCCTACCACGTGCTGGAACAGCAAGGCCCGCTTCGCCTCTGCAGGCCCATGGCCCAGAACCCGCACCTGCCCTCAGTACCACATGGCCCTCCTCAGGCTGCTGGGGCCTCTTGGCCTTGGCTTCACTCTCCTCAGTGCCCAGGCCTTTGCTTGTGCCATGTCCTCTTTCTGGAGTACCCCCTCTACCCCGCTGAAAACCCAATCGTGCCCTGTCTGGGAAGAAGTGCAGGAGGGCGGAGGAAGCCTGTGGGGGCTGATGGACATGACTGGGATTCCTGCTCCTGTGCTGACAGCTGTCAGCCTTGGGAAAATTCCTTCTTCTTTATGAGTCCATTGTAAAATGGGACTATTTTGAGGGTCTTGTAAGGTCATGAGAAATGCTTGGAACATCAGATAATTCAGAGAGTGATAAATGCAATTGTTATTGAAATATTAAGACCATTGACCTTCAAGGTCCAATTCTGGCCAGCAATATCCAGTCGTGCATGGTGGCTCACGCCTGTAATCCCAGCACTTTGGGAGGCCGGCAGCGGTGGATCACCTGATGTCAGGAGTTTGAGATCAGACTCGTCAACATGGTGAAACCCCACCTCTACTAAAAATACAAAAATATTACCTGGGCATGATGGCACACACCTGTAGTCCCGGCTACTGGGGAGGCTGAGGCAGGAGAAACGCTTGAACCCAGGAGGCAGAGGTTGCAGTGAGCTGAGATCACGTCATTTCACTCCCACCTGGGCAAGAGTGAGACTCCATCTCACACACACAAAAAAGAAGGTAATGTCCGCATAAAGCTGCCTGACCGCTACTCCACCTGGTCCAGATGTCCTCCTCCCGGCGTGTTTGGCTACCGGCCACGTTTCAGCCCTCATGTCTCTCCACTTCACCCCTCCCTCCTCTCGTTCCCACCCCAGGGCCTGTGCAGGTGCTGGCCTTCTCCCAGGAGCATTCTCCTTCCAGCTCTCATTCTGGTTTCTTCTTATTCACCAAGTCTTAGTTTCAGTGTTGCCCCTTGCGGGGACAAGGGGACCACCCTGTCTAAGGTAGGGCTCTTTTGGCTGCACACTGAGGGCGTCCTCACTAGCAGTTGCTGGAACTGGGTCTGAAAACTCGAGTGTTGTTCTAGGCACTATGATTTCTCAGCTGCTGTATACCGAGGAGAGGGAGGGGACCACAGCTCAAGCGGGTGGCCGAGAACCAGCCGCACAGCTCCTGGGTGTCCCCTGCCGGGGACCCTGACCCAGAGTGAGGCAATAAAACGGCCAAGAGGGAACAGAAGGTCTGAGGAGGTGTTTCTTGGGAGACAGCTATGGCCCCTCCTCCTTGTCACTGCCTTTGGGCTGATTTTGGAGAAGTCAGTCCTTCTTTCTGGGCCTCGGTCTCCCCAGCTATGGAATAAGGATGTTGGGCTCCACGATGCTGTGGCCAGCCTGGCTCTGATGACCTTTGCTTACAGTGGAGGGAGCTCAGTACTTATGCAGTGAGGACTGGGCTGTTTCTGAGGTCAGGTATGTTGTTAGGAAGCTCATCCCCATTGAGCCAGGGTCAGCGGAGGTTCTGCCAAGGGAACTGCCTCCCGGGAAGGAGGGTAGCAGGTGTCCGGGCCTCAGTGCGGGCCTAGCAGGGGGGACCTTTTCAGAAACCTTCTGGGGCCTTGAGGGTTGTGTTCCCAGGAGTTGGGACATGCAATGGACTGGGCTGTGTCTCCTGATGAGTTGAAGTCATGTAGGGCAAAGTGACTTCTGCAAGCGGAAAATTACTGCTCTCTTCTCCCTTTGGGCAGGGTCAAAGATTGTGTGTGGGTTTCCCAGGGCCGGGTGTGGACCCTGCAAGATGGAGGTCGGTCTAGGGCTGGTTGAAGTCCTTCCTAGTATTACTGCCTGGAGAGGATGCCGGAGAACCAGGGGCTGGGAGTGGCTGGAGTAGCCTGCCAGGCAGTTAGCCACAGAAGGGGCTCGCCCTGGTGCGGGGGGTGCAGCTCGGGAAGCCCCGCAGGGAGGTAAGAACACCTCCTTGAAGGTGGCAACGAGACTTGGCTCTCAACATTTTTGGGGCTCCTCAGAGAGTTGGGAGCTACCTGGCAACAGTATCAGTCAAAGGAAAACTCTCCTGCTCCTTTTCTCTTCTGGATGGAAACACACACACACACACACACACACACACACAT